GCTACCGCGTACGCGAAACTCGTCTGCATCGTTTGTTTACTTGTACAAAAGACAACAACTGGCCGTTTTTACCAGTGTTGTCATCNAACCTGACAGCTACAGGCTTGTAGCCCGCAACTCTCACCACTCGGCTACCGCGTACGCGAAACTCGTCTGCATCGTTTGTTTACTTGTACAAAAGACAACAACTGGCCGTTTTTACCAGTGTTGTCATCGAAAATTCCCCGGACCCGAGTTAACTCCGAAAAATTTCGTGCATTTGTTCGGCTGCTTATGCTCATTTTCAAGAGGAAAATGCATGAGTTAAAGCAAATAAAGGGTGGTTATGCAAATAATCGAGCCCGTTTGTCTACCGTATAAGAGTCTGCTCTGCGTTCCGTACGGTATCGGAAGACGCAGCAGAACAACACAGCTTAGCCCAGTGGCAGACACGATGGAATAGTGTAATAAATGGCAGGTGGACCCATCGGCTCATCCCCAGAGTCGAAGCATGGCTTGAGAGAAAGCACGGGAAATAAACTATTACCTTACCCAAATTCTCAGTAGTCACGGCTGTTTTAAAACGTACCTTTACCGGTTTGGACATGAAGAGACTCCATATTGCGAACAGTGCAAACCAGCAGTCCCCGAAGATGCGGAATATGTGCATTTGTATGTCCCTGCTTCAGAAGGCTAAAGAAGCATGAAGAAAACAGTCTTGGCTGTAGCGGCACATCAGACAATCTGGTACCACTGATGCTGAAGAGCAACCACACATATGGCTGCCACAGTGATGCAGCAACTCCGCAACAGCCAGAAGGCAAGGCGTACACGCGAACGCCAAGAAAGTGTGTGAACCCGCAAGGCGATATTGTTGCGGCGAAAAACGCACATAAACAGATAATACCAAACTTAGAAGCGAACTTTCTTTATATGATATAGATATAGACATGGTGGTTGGGGGCGTACAGATCCAATAGGGGTGGCCTCCTTCCCGAAATTATACTAACAGTGGGTGGTAACAAGTAGATGAAACTTCTGATGTAATGCATTAGGATAGGAACGGACGTTGAGACTAGTGCTCAAACCGTCTCCCGACGAAATACATGACGGTGGTACCAAGGAAATCGGTACTGTGACGGTAGGGTTAAAGTCTCACACTGACGGGGTTATGCTTTCGATGCTTCCTCCTCGTAAAAAAAAACACCAGACCTAAAAGTATTCAAAGCGGTACCCATTAGTGGTAGCAGGGAAAGGCTGGATAAAAAAAGATTTGGCTTCACTTGAAATTTCCAATGGCTGTCAGTATTCACAGAAGAGAAACGACTAACGTGCTTCATTGGACTAAGCCAAAAGAAAGAAAAATGACTTTTGCATATCATTAAAACTTGTTTGGCTATGGATGTGATTTCCCCGACATCCCTCTTTCACAACAGTTAGATCAGAACAATGTTTTTTCGAGGCCCCTAGACTCTTCTACTACTAAACCGATTATTTGTTGTGTTGATTGAGTTTACTCTACATCCAACTCTAGAGATAAGATCGTGTTTTTTCCCCTGACAGAAGCAAAAAAGTACATAGAATATCGTTGTGTAGATATAAATCTTCAATAACAACTGACGTGTCAGCTAAAATTTTCCCAAAAATCATAAGCCAAGTATTTTTATCTCAGTAGATAATGATTCTGACTAAAAGCGCATCTGGTAAAATTTTCGACTGCCATATCAACACGCTTCCAGGTATCATACGAAAAAAACACACACTCGCCAACAGATGCTAGCAACATACAATCAAACTCGCAAACACACATAAGCCATGCTCGTATGATCATCTGCACACACACATGCAGATCTACAAAAATCATACAAATTTATTTTTAAACGGTGTCATTGCTGCTACGAGTGTTTTAATTTTTTTATTGTATTAAGTTGATCTTGATGTCGCCGTTGAACACGTTGGTGGCCTGTCACCGCTTGGTACCCAGTCACCAAACCAAACCAAATCAAAATGCCAGCCCGCAATGATAAGACAGCACGCAGAGCGCAACCGATCCAGTGCTGGCTGATGAGCATGCTCTTAATGAGCCGCAGCAGCGCATATCCAGCGCATACATGTATGCATGTGTGGATGTGTGAATTGGGGGAATCTATGCATTAGTATTCTCAGCATTGATAGCGGCCAAAGTCGAACGTGCTAATTATTCCCAAAGGATGGCGGCCACCAGTCAGTGCCGCGTAAGGTTGTTGGCGATCGTTGTTGTGTGAGTTTGTATATGTGTGTGTGTGTGTAATCTAGCGACAATTTCGTCAAATCTGTTGACAGCTGCAAGTAAAACAAATCGACGGTATGGCAAGCGCCAACAATAGAAACAACAAAAAACGACTAATGATTGCGTTGAGAATTATGGAAGGGGAAAGGGGGAAATAATATGTATGTAAATATTGTTGACATTGATTGAAAAAATATTAATTATGTTTTGCTGATTTTGGTGTATTTTAATGGATCATTTAGAACAAATATGAAAACACTTATCGTGAGTGTGGCCAGATTGGGAAGAATAAAAAAAAACTTAATTAACAAAAAAAAATAATAATCTATGACAAAAAAAGCAAAAAATCAATAAATAAATAAATCAAACAAAAAATATTTAAACATATGGATCAAATAAAATAAAGTGAAAATTGAAATATAATAAATAAAAAAAAAATCAAATAGAAATATATCAGTTAATTTTTTTTTATAAAAATCCAACTGTTGCATGCAAGGAAATATATACTTATTTAGAGACTTTGTTGTTTTCCATTTTTCCTGATTGAACAAAATCGTGGCACAAAGCTTAATAAAACTATTTAAGTAAATGTAAAATTTGCATTTTGAAAATCGAGAATAAAAAAACATAAAACAATAGGCAAGTAAAACAAAAACACAAATGATAGTAAACAAAAAATAAAGCAAGTAAAGTAAACTAAAATAAAAAACGCAAAATGAGATATAAAAACGAAAATAAAGAAAATTAAATTGAAGCTAAAAACACTTTAATTAATTTAAAAAAATGTGTTAAATAAAAAAAAATATGCTTTAAAAAATTCCAATATTATAAAAAATATTCGCTGGAAATTTTTAAGTTTTTTTCGAAAAAATACATTACTAAGTAATTATATTTGCATTTATCGATTTTTGGACTTATTCATAAAAAATAAAAAAGATTTAAAGAGCTCCATAAAGTGTTTGGGTGTTTAAATATATTATTTTTTTTTAATTATGAAACATTTAAATTTTTTTATTAAAAAAATTAATTTTAGTTTTCTTGGCATATTAGTTTTTTTTTTATCGAAAACGTCAGTCCAAATTATGTACATGTAATGCGAGTATCAAGAAAATTGAGTTATGCTGAATAAAATTTTAGAGTATTTTCGAATAAGAAAACCAGGGATCGATGCGTTATTGATGAAAACTGTCATTGAAAAATTCACTATGAAGGAAGTGTTTTTTTTACAACTAAATAATCCATATAATTTGCGAAAAAATTTTTATTTGTAATTTTTATGCAAAATTAAAAAAAAAACAATTATTTATGATTTTTATTTACAAATCCAAAATAAGAATTATTTTTGATTTTTATATAAATAATCTGTAGATAACAGGTATTTTTCATTTTTATATTATATGTCTTAGATGACAGTTATTAAAGACTTTTATTTATAAAAGTCATCAATACAAATCAATCACCGACTTTTGTTTTGAAATCATACGCATACAAGTCACTATCATTTTTCGCAGTTAAGAAGGTGTTGGATAACCAAAATTTACTACGACTTCTACGAATCATTTTTATAAGTATGATTTTAAAACTAAAAGTCAATGACTGATTTATATTGATGACTTTCATGAATAAAGGTCTTCAGTAACTGTTATCTAAGATATATAATTTAAAAACCGAAAATAATTGTTATTTGGAACTTTTTGAGATAAAAATCAAATATAATTGTTATTTTGGATTTATAAAATAAAAATCAGAAAAAACTCTTATGTAAGGAGTAATTAAATAAAAGTCTAAAAATAATCGTTAAAGGGTGATTTGTTTAATAAAAGTTGTAACTGTTACGGTCCCTGAAGAAAACGTAAAAACATAATAAAACACTTGCTTGATAAAAATTTAGATTCTTATGAAGTACAAGTTTTTTTAGCTTGTAGTGCACAAGAATATAGTTTATTACCAAGCAAATATGTTATAATTAGTCAAGAGCGTCTTAATTAACCAAATTTTGTTTGGAAAAATTGCCATTTCGTTGGAATTTTATAATTATTTTCGAAAGTAGAAAAGTTCCACCTTATTAAAAGTATTAAACTACTAATGCTGAAAACATGAAATCGTGAAACATTAATTCAATAAAATAAAGTTTTTTTAATTATGTAAATACAGTATTGAAAAAATTGGATGTCCACCTAAAAAAAAAATTGAAAATGATATTTAAGAACGGAATTAACTGAATTTAGTTTGAAAAAAAAGTTCACTGACCATTTATCTGTGTCCGAACGCGTCTCAGATTCGTTCAACTTCATCTTCCAAAGCTAATAAGTTTTATCATTCGTTTATGACGGTAAAAAACTGACTGATGCATTCACATGTGTGCTTTACTTTTACGGCTTAACTTGGACATATCTTACGCACAAAAGTCTGGCAACTCTGCTTCAGCGCTTCCAATACATACTTCGCTGCAAGCAAGCCAGGGCTCGCGCCTTATGACTGCGACTGCGACTGCGTTTACGATTTGTGCTCGTAGTACCAAGCAGCGCATTTGCCATTGTCGATATTGATTGCCCATCGGGTAGATAAGAAACTAATTGATCTTGCTTATTTTTTTAATTTTTGCCACACTTCGCTATGACTGATCGCCACTGATCGGTGTTTTACACTTTAAAACAATGCCAGCTACACGAGAAAACGGCATTTTAAATGCAACTCTCCGAGAGACAAGTGCGTACGCAATTAGATCAAAATTTTTACAAAATCCACAGCAATGGACTTCTTTGCCACCGGCGGGTTTCAGCAACTTTTCAGCGATTTGAATGACACACAGCCGCAGGTGCAATGGGTTGATTTCAGTGGCGCCATGGACGGCGCTCAGGCATACGAAAGTTACGACTACTGCGCAGACGGGCCAATCGAATGCAGCAATCCCCTGATTCAACTCACCTGCACGGATGATCCTTTTGTGCTCACCACGGCGGCAAACGAGCAGTCGCTACTCGAATTAGAAGCAGAATGGTGTGAATTAACAGTAGATTCCTCCAACTGTGGTAGTACAAACGACAACAACGCAAATTTACAATACTTCGATTGCAGCGTCATCAACGAGCGCGAGCTGCAACTTACGCTCGATCAGCTGCTCAGCTCGCCACCTGCGTTTGTATCCGAAGTTACCTGCCTTGGCGATGCCGGCGCAACGCAATCGCAGAGCGCAATAGCAGATGGTAACTGCGCCGAAGACAAGAACAACAATAGCGCTTACAACACGTTGAGTAGCCCTAGCAGCGTTGATACCTCATCTATAGTTGAGCTGGAGACAGCTGCCTTCATTACACGCGAGATGGCTGAATGGGAGGAAAAATTCTTGGATAACTACATTGAAATACCAGAACTCATCGATTTTCTGCCCGAAAAGACGCCACTCTGCACCGAGACGTGTGAACATTTTCTACACGAAAGCTCGAAGAATCTCAAATTGCACCGCAAAGCGCGAAGTACGAAGCGCGCGAGTGAAACCACCAACTGCAATGAGGAACACGCTGCTGCCGGTTATCCCTGCACCTTTGGCACCTGTGACAAAATTTATGAAAAACCTGCGCATCTCAAAGCCCATCTGCGCCGTCACATGGGCGAAAAGCCGTACACCTGCGATTGGCCAGAGTGCACGTGGAAATTTTCGCGTTCCGATGAGCTGGCGCGACATCGGCGCTCACATTCGGGCGTGAAACCCTATAAATGTAACTATTGCATGAAGTGCTTTGCCCGCTCCGATCATTTGACTAAACATCGTAAAGTGCATGAGCGTCGACTGCTGGCGGCGAGTAAAGCGGGCAAGGCCATCAATGGTGTGCTGCCGCATAGTGTGTTTACAGTGCGGCCGGGGCGCAAGCGAAAGAATCAGATGTGTTGAGGAAGTGTGACAGGTGGAACGAGTGTGATAGTTTTAAGTGTAAATATGTACCATGATTTGAGAAAACAGTGCAAATAAAAGTAGGTTTTTTTAGTGACAATACGTTTTTCATGGTCCGCTGGGATTACGCTGCTCCAGTCTAAATACAGTTTGGGTGCGCCGCCGTGCAGATGCTTCTGTATGAAGGTTTAATATCTAATTCTTGCGAGTTCGTTTCAGTGTTCCGGCATCTCATTCTTCTCTTGGTGGGAATAGCGATTGGGGTTGTCATGTTGGTATTTTGATCGGCTGTTTTTGAACTATGAGTACTGAGCAGTTATCAAATTTTGTCTCAACCACGTGAGCTTCAATCGCAAAATCTGCAGTTTCAGTTCGAAAATTGCATAAACTGTGAACTGTTCACAGACTGAGTCTTAAGTGCCCGACGAACAGAGTGTTTTTATTAGTTAGGTGGAAAGCAAAGCCGAGATGTAGTTCAATACTAAATGAAGTAAAATCTGAGATTGATGGAATCAGGAGCGTAGGCTACTTCCAGACGTTCGATAACTTACAGTCCTCACTTTAGTTGGTTGCGTGGCAAACAAAAACTCAGTGCTTGGCAAGATTGAACTTGAGAACAGGTCATCTAAAGCTAAGTTCCTCATTAGGCTCACGATGACTTTCAGTCATTTCAGAGTGAATTGATGTTGCGAGGCATGGAAAACCACCACGCACTTTAAGATTAATCCAAGCAAACGATCAGAGATTAAAGCGATCGGAACGTTTTCTCACAGTAAGGCTCGCGAAGCCTTTTAGTCAGCCCTGAATGATATACTCACTTTTGCCAAGACTGTCATAAGGCCATTATGTAGCCAATTATTGAACTACCAATGGATTCTAAAGTTGAAAGAGTCTCGTGAAAACCTTCAGGAGTGAAGTATCGACCTTACGAGTCATAAAGAGGAATGCCTTAAGTATTTGCATGGTAAATAAAATATTGTTAAGCTCATTTTAGGCAGATGTTTAGTAAAAGATTTAAGCAAAAGTAAGTGGTATCCGCTGTGGGTATTTTGAATATACTTGTTGCTAGAACACGGGAAAGGGTTTACCCTGAGCATGTTAAATAAAAAAAAAATCGGGAATCTAAGTGTTTGACCGAACTGCTTTCCAATTTGTAGTGTGCTTCATGGCTTTATTACTAAATAGACGGAGTTATAGTTGTACGCCGACTCCGAATAGTAAATGACTTTAATGAGAATAGTAAATGACTTTTATGAGAAGCCTTTTCATGACAGAGGACTACTCGAAGGTCTGCCAATGCTGAGAAAGGGGCGCCTGATATCAGAAATATACTCTTTTTTTTACTACCGTGTGGGAGTAAGCGTCTTCAGACACTAGGCAACAGCAGCCGCTGAGCTTGTCCATATAAAATATATAAAAACTTAGGATCTTGTTTCCACAGATTTACCTACTTTCAGATGACCCTTCTCTGTTTTGCGTTTCTTGCGAAAAAATGCCTTCTAAAATTTAAGTATCCCAAAAGTATTTTGGCTTACTCATTTAGTCCGAAGCTTCAAATGGCAGCTAGTACAGTGTGATTTTTATTCATACACTCGGCACTGGGACGTAGACGACGCCACTACGTGCGTGTATTTCAAGAGTAGGGAGAGTTCATCGAACACAGAATCAAAAAATGCTTACTAAACTAAATCTTTCCGTCAAATTACACGGATTTACTCCCAAATTTTAGGCTTAGCTCGAAGACAGGCTGAGTTCTGGGACTATGCCGTTTGTCTGTGGATGGACTTTGGAGTCGAAAATGGTTCAAAGGAAGTTATAAGGGGTCAATCATCGCGCAATAGGAAGGGGACAAGACTTTTTCGTCTTATTCAGGAGTTAGCCGACTTCAGAGCAAAGACTATATAGACCTCATATATCCGTCACTTGCGGTGGAGTATGATAGTACTTCTGGATATGCAGTTTCAGTTGTACGATGACAGAAGAATGGGCTAGGACTATATGCCGCTTTCTCTGACTTACAGTTCACACAGGACTGCGGACAGCTCTTTTATAGCAAGAAGATTCCATCGGTTTTTGTTTTAGCTCTTTACTTGGAAGCTAGAGTAGATTACTTATAGAAGCTTCTTCAGCTACCCAAATGGATACTAATTTTAGGACCAGATCTATCACGCATGACACCTTTGCAAAGAAGACCCTATCACCGCCATTGCCCTGATGGCGATTCTTAAAGTTGGATCAAGAAGGCAACTGCCATTTACTCACGTTTGGATTGATATCATAGTATTTATCAGCGTCCGAAACCCGAACCGTTACGAATTCCGGAGGACTTTGTTAGGGTCAGAGAGGCTGTACTACTGAAATTTCAATCTATGTAATTCAATGCATAGTGAATGCGACATATACGCGGATGATGTTAATAAGACTTTTCCTTTAGACACTATTTTTGAAAATCTTCGAAGAGCGCTTCATGAGTGATTCCCTAAGAAAGTTTGTACATACTAAAATATTGAATTCTAAAAAGGTGGGAACAGTTTTCATATCATAATAGGAAGAGTAATTTTTATTTAAATATATTGAAACTGCTTCTGCTCGATTACGCAATATAAAATGACGGAAATACGTAACTGGGAACAGTTTTTGAATTTGATGAGAACTGTTTTTTAATGCCTGAAATCAGTAGATAATATGGTGATCGCAAAGACAAAAAAGTGTTTTAGAAGGCCGAAGAAGGAAGAAGAAGGTAAGGAATAGGTTTTTTTCTGAAAATAAATTTTGCATACATGAAGAAAGCTGCCTTTTATGTTCGTGTTTCGGGCCAAAAGACGTGTCTTAAAAAGGAAACTTAAATATCGGTTTTTGTCAAAACTTAATTCTGTCGATCGCCGCCAATTATACAGTGAGGCGAATAATAAATTACATTATTTTTTTCTGGGCTAGAAAGGCACCTATCTACATGTGATTCTCAAAAAATAACTAATTTCATTCCACCTTAATGTTCATACATACAAATTAATGAAATTACATTCAAATTGCTTCTCCATTTAGCTGAATTAAATCTAATATTCGTCTTGTGTTAATAAATTTAGTAAGTAGTAATTGAAACTTCCGAAAACTTTACACATTTTGATCAACGTAACCTTTGCATACATATGCATGTATGTATGTATATTTACATACAACATGCAAAAGCTCACATCCTGTATTTAGACAACCGGATGTACCCACATACATACATATACGCAAATTTATATAAATATATGTTTAGCTATAAGTGTGTAGGTATTTATGTATATTTACTTGTATAATTTAGAGTGGAAACAGCTTCAAGTGACATCTGACATTTTGCACCTTGGCTGTATCCTTACATGCTTATTTGTCACTCAAAATAAGTTACATGCATATACAACTATCTTCGTACATTTATATTTGTATTTTGTATGTATGTACATATAAGATGTAAGTTGAAAGTATTTGCTTGCAATTTTAGATTTACATGAAGAATTAGTGTTGTAAGTAGCTGCCGTGGCGAAGCTTCAAAGGTGCGAAGAGAAAAGTGGAGTTTAAAATTGATCTAAAAGTAAATGACACTGCAGGTCGTGCAGGAACGCAATTACCTACAAATGTATGTTACACAAGAATTTAAAAACTTAGGTTTTCTTTGGTTACTGTACCCACTTAAATCGTCCTTAGTTGTTAGATAAAAATAATGACAAATAAAAACTATTTGCCATACAAATTTCACGTGTGAAAACAAAAATTTCGTGATACTTATTTGGAGTTTTTTTTGCAATTTTCCTATAATAAAAACTGTTCCCACAGTAAATAACCGCACTCTGGCAGTTTAGGAGCATTTTAATAGATAAGGTCAACTGAAGACATGCTTACATGCAAGAAAAAAACTGTTCTTATGAAACTAAAAAACTGTTCCCAGTGCAACCTTATTTTTATTTTATTTTTCTAGCTATTGAAAACTAGTTTTAGCATTCTAAAACGAAAAAACTGTTCTTAGTAAGAAAACTTAACTGTTCCCACTTTATAAAAGCTCGGAAACTGTAGCACAGTCATATTTTGGAGGATCTCATAAATTGTATAAAGTTTCTTGGGTGCTTGCTTAACAAAAATTTTCCTATTCGGTACATACTACATAGTTATGTACATACATATGTATGCATGTATGCAGATTCCTGTGCAAATATACAAATATGCCATAAATATGTAGGTAAATTTAAATCATTTATCTTCATTGCCTTGCTTGACTTATGTATAATTGCCATTCTCACCACGACAGGACATGTTGTGTCGGCCTCTGCAGCTACACTTTTCATTCCAACACAGCATGTTCCTTACAAGTAAAACTAATTTTCTTGTCTTCATTGTTGCTGCAGAATATGTTTTGTTGTAAAATTTTACTCTTACTACAATTTGCTGTCATTTAGCTGTTGTGTGTTTCCGTGCTCTTGTAGGATTTAAAATTTATTAATAATTTTGTCGCTCAATGCTTGCACAATCTTTCTCAAATTTCTTTATATTTGTAGAGATTACATTTGACCATCTGTCAGACTAATTGCTAGCATCGATTACACTGCGCTCGTAAATGCCTCATCGCATTAACATTACAAATTATTTTACAAAAACTTGATTAAAATTGTTTGTTACTAACTTCGCAAAATTATGAACGGAAAGGGATGTGAAATCCAGAAAGCAACAAACTTAAGAGGAGAAGTTCGGTTAAACACTTAACAAAAATGTTAGCGCCAAATATTTTTTTGTTTTTAAATTTAGTATAAAAAATTTATTTACTTTTGTGTGGAAGAGAAAGCAAACACCTATAAACATTCAAAAATGAAACTGAAATTTTAGAGAGGCGTCAGGAGTGAAACATATCTGACAGCTGAAACTGAAGTTCTGCTTTCCGGTCGCAAAATTAGCTAACTACTAAGTATTACTGAAAAGGTCTTAAACTTAAACAAACTCACACCCTCTTGCTATATAGACCACCA